AAAACTTTTAAAATCAGATTCTGCGGTTGGTACACAAGACATTTTGATGAACAGGAAGCAAACTAAGACACAATAAAGGATCTGGATAAAGCACTTGAGGAGATAACCAAATACATAAGGATTACAGTTTATTATAATGAAATAAGAGGCACTTTGTGAACGAATCCTGCTCAACAGTTCAGTAACTGACTCTACTATCAAGATAATTACCCAAATAATTAGCCAATAATGCGTATCACCACAGAAGGGGGCTGCAAGGTCCGAACACTTATTTCGAAGGCACATTAGGGGGCGAGTAGATTAAGAGAACCCAACATATACTGAAGAAGATATAGGTCATACTTGGTTACTCGTTTTGTCCTTCTCAATTTCTGAATCACTAACCTTTCATGTTGAATTGATGGACTGAACCGCAGAGGTCATTTCCAGTAGGTGCCAACACGTTAACTGACTTGGAATTCTTCAAATGAAATAAGTAGAAAGGTTTCTGTTGAATGGGCACATTTTCCTCACATTTTCTGTCATAATTATTATTTTTATTTAAGATCTTGTGGTGTTCAGTATTCATGGACGAGTTATTATGGACATTCATCTACTATGACTAGTGTTGATGGAGTTTTCTTCCTTCATAAATGTAGCACATATGTTTACAACCAAGTAGGATAAGGTTCGTACAGTGGTTGTAAACAGGATTCAAAATGAACGTCATACAGCACTTAATAGCGTATTACAGTTATGGTGTTTAGAATTTGAAACTTGTCCCTGATACCTACCCTAATGTAAAAGGGTTCAGCGGAAGACCTCTTAATTCAGATTACTACATGTTTGGAATTTAGAACTGTTCTCTTTATACATAGCTCACACAACAGATGTCAGCGGCGATTAAGAGCAGAAGTGTGCAAAGTGGTATGAATGTCACATGACTCATTATTATTCCATCAGAATCACTGTACCGTGGTGGGCCACCAAGGAAATTGAGATAAAACTGTAAGTACGTCACACTCGAACAATTATTAGTCAAACACTGACATTTGTACACTTTTCAAAGAATGTTTGTTCATTTCTAGGCGGAGCTATGAACAAATTTGCCAATTTTCAATCGAAACCAAGACGGAACTGAATTGGAAAGATATCAAAAACGAAATACATGATTTTGGAGCAGTTATTTTCTAAGCAGTTACCTAGATACCTACATATTTGTTTGAATGTATTAATTAGTGAAACCAAGCTTACATTGCAAGCGGTTCTATTGTTTTGGTGTGTAGTTTGGTAGCTGCTCATAATTCGTTACCAAATGACGTAGTTTTTCCTGTAATGAGCGAATGCTGCCATAACTGGGATTATTTTTCAATTACCAATGAAACAGGACTAACTCGAAGCTGTTGAAATATGTGTTATCCATGTGAAGAGAATACATCGTACGTTTAAACTTATCAGTTGTTACCTCTCATTAATTTTTCAAATGTTTTGTTATTTCCTACAAGTAATTACTGCATCATTCCGCTGTTATTATTGTTTTAAGGTATGAAGGACTCATGTGTCAATGTTTTTTTATGCAGAGACTGTTGGCTTCACGTAATGTTTTGTTAGTTATTATATACTTTTATGTATGGTTACTTCGGTTTATCTTACTCATTTTTATTATCATAAAATACATTTTTACCCTAGTTTTATTTTGGGCCAGGTGGGTTTTCAGTCGCGTATCCCATCTGTGATTAAATAGCTAAATGCCTCAGAAAAGGGGAACTTTGATTGACAAATTATCCTGCAGCTTCACATTTTAATATAGGTCATCCTTCAGAAGAGACTACGTTGGTCAGTTGCATTTGTAAGTAGTGAGAAAAGTCACACATTGTGGACAAGCTGACGTTACCTGAGCTGAAGTAGAGAGCCATACCCATTGCGTTGAGCCGTGTGCTTTAGCCAACGAGTTACATGTCTAAATGAAGAAATCGCTATCCATCTTAACTATCTCTCATACTAATCTTCCATTTTAACTGCCCGGTAGGAGAATGCACGTGTGTAAAATTAGCTATCTAGGTCGGATTATAAGTGAATGGAATGCAGTGTGAAATAACCATTTTTTCCTATCTGCCTCACATCGTCACTCACTTTTGCCTTTTCTCAAAAAATTAATTACTCAGTTTCCCTTTCGTCATGTTTTCTATGAGCAGGCTCTCTATATCAATTAAGGAAACCTCCCATTTGTTCCCATGTCAACCCTATAATTTTCAAAAATACCACTTTCAATAAGTAATGTTATCGTTTCACTCATGTTAATGGGAAAAATTTTCTCACTAGGTAGTTTCCTCCACTGTGAATAGACAAACAGTAGCAAGCTGCGATTTTGTATCATGTTGAAATCAAGGTTTTCGTTGTCCCCGTTGCTGTTCTGATTTGTTTCCTGGCACTTCAATAGCTTAAAATCTCTAGATCTGGCATTTAAAGTTGGAAGGTTCGGAAAAAATGTCAGTCTATTTTAATTGTTTCTCAATCGTACGATACTGCAAAATAATTATGTTTAGCTTTGTGGTTGTATTCCAACCTTAGAACATCCACGACAGAGCTGTTTTATTTGTTTTCATGGGTTCCATAAGATGCTCAAAATCAGTTGGTGATTGCTTAGTGACATACTTCGAAATTGTTCATAGAAGTAGAGATGTATTCTCGATTCCAGCTTCTAAAGAGATCCATTCCAATCTTCATTCAGTTGTTTCGTGTATTTCTGTCGTGAAGTTAATCTAAATCAGGCACCTTGATCCAACTGGCCATTCATTTCGCACCACTAATCAGAATTGAGAGGCGATGTAAATCGCAAAACTGTTGAAAAGCTGACTATAGATCATGGTGTTCGGATATCTGTAAAACATTTCTCATCGAGTCCTTTAAGCTACCCCGAAATCGTAGTCCTCTTCAAAAAACTAGCTATCGTGTCAAGCTTACCCCCATGTATATATTTTTTTGCAAATTCAATTAGTCAGTTATGCACTGAAAATAATCAAACACTTGATCTTCTTGGGACGTTAAGCAAATGCATAACAAGAAGCTTAATTTTACTTATACTCTAATTCGTTTGCAAAGGTTATGTTGGGGAGTGGCTACTATAGGTTAACTCCACTTGCGTCTTTATATATGTATACATCGTAGTTTTTAATTGCATTTTCTCTCCTCCATTATAATGTGTGGTTTTTTCAAATTGAGACGGCATATAGAGTGATGCATTTCTTCCAATTCACAGTGGAGTTGTGTAGGTTGAGTTTGAGTGGTATAGTAGGGTGAGTAATGATCAGGTTAGGCGTATAGTACTAGATAAGGAGTGTAAGTCAACTAATGAAATTGTGAAACTACATCGATTGAGATGGGTAGCACATATGTCTAGCCATCGCCTTTCTCATCGGGCAGTGTCAGCTGGCGTAGGGTTTGGTTGAAAGGGAGTTAAAGGTAGTCATGTTAGAACTTGGCATCAAAACATGAGTTTGACAATATGTTTAAGCCAGCCGCTCACGGAGGTTTGGGCTGCCTGACTGGCGTCCTTGAGGTGCTAAGAATCGATGGCTGGAGAGTATTGGTGAAATTAACTCGAAATCTTTCACAGTAGTACAGATGCATTCACCTTTTATAACCTGTCATACCCGTTAAATACCCATGTTTTTCCCATGATGTCGCAGGACTGGACTACATCAGCGCATAGCACAAAGATGGGAAGTGAAGTGGTAGGGCGTGTTGATTACCACTTCACTTATTTGGTAAGTTGCATCAGTCCCAACGGGCTAATGAAATCTCAGTAAAATTACATATGGCTCGCATGGGAGTTGCAAACTGATGCTATCTCTGGTGTAGGCGTAATATCCGGCCTTCTATAGATCAAATGGGCGTGTGTACTGCTAAGCGATTCGACCCGTCCTCCTTTATGTCTGTGAGACCTGGCCACTGAAAGTGGAAGACATGAAAAGACTAGCTGTCTTTGACCATAGGTGTCTGCGTTCTTAGATGTTATAATATGGTAGTAGTATTAAGGTGGTTATGCGTAGAGCTTTAGGTGGTAAGGAAAGTAGGTCGATGAATTTGTGAAGTTACATCGATTGAGTTGACTAGGACACCACGTGTTACGCATCCCTAGCCATCCCCTTCCTCGACGAGCAATGTTAGCTGACGCAGTATCAGTTTGGAAAATAGGTTGTGTTGGTGAAACCTAGACTTGGGATCAGTCCATGAAATCCTTGACAGTTAATTTAAACCAGCCACGTGGGGAGATGTAGACTGGTTGGATGTGTTTGGGGTCCTCAGGATGATAAGAACCTATGGTTGGAGACAATCGGTGATATGACTAAAAATCGTCAATCACAGCGTAGATGCATTCACTCTTTGTGATTTAGAATATCCAATAAACTCTATTGTTCTTCCATATTACTATTCTTTTTGCATCATATTTCTGTTTATTATCTGTTTTTTGAATCTCTCTTTACTCTCCTGTCTTGCTTTGTGTGCTACGTGAAATGTGGCAACTCGAATTGCTGCACATCGGTGCAAAGTTCTACGTCGAAACCAGCCAGTCAGCCATACCTTCTGTTGTTTTTGTTGCTAATAAACGTTGTGCTTGGATCTCTTCAACTGTTGTCTTGTCGATTGTTCTAACATCGTTCAGTCGATTAACTGTCACACTGAAGTTTAATCCTTTATCGAGGACGTCAGTCCAGTGATAATTGATTTTGATTTGCGTGTCTACCCGCGTACTTGCTTACCTGGGCTTTGTTTTGTGATCCTATTCCGTAACTGTTGTGCTTCCAGTCCATGTGTGTGTATGTGTAGTGCATCTCTTGGTAAACATATTGTACCAAGATTGTGTGAGCGTTTAAATCAAATCAAATCATACATTTATCAGTGTATACCATGTTATCTCCTGTAACATTTTTTTTACAATTTTTTGTCTTTTTACTTCACAGGTAATACGTACTAATCCGAAAGTGTACCCGTGTATATGTGACACATCGAGTCAACAATCATAATTCTGTTTCACACCATATATCTCCCTTGCGTCCTGTTAACTTGTTATCTTTGATATCAATTAATCAGTTATTATAAAGAGTATTATCCCCATCCCCGCGCATATGATACCGGTGAGTGTATTCACTCCACATTCGGTTGTTAGTTCAGTGGAACAAAATGATTACCATTATTCATCAAATCGATTTTCATCTCTACAGTTGAGGTCACTACCACCTGCTGAACACAATTCATTTATACCTGTGAGTCAGAATGTTGTAATTAGTGATCAGAGTGATAATAATAGTTTCATAATTGATTCAGAATATCAACTGTACTCACCGGTAACTTCTACGATTACAACTGCAACTTCCACAGCTGTACATTATAATGACGATGAAGTTAATAATCCCAGTGATGATCAAAATCGTTTATCTAGTTTTGAATTAATCAGTCGTCTTATCGATGCTGAAGGTTTGATTGAATTGGGGCATAATATACCAATCAATAGTCATTCCACTAGTGTAACAATTGATGAAATTGTTGATTTATCAGATCTTGATGAAGTGAGTGGGAAAACCCTATGGTCTACACAGGGTGGCGAAGCAGCGGTGAACTCTTTCAATTTGGATAAAATCAATGAACATAATACTAATACTATTACTAATAATAATAGTCATAATCACAGTGGTGATCATAATAGTGATCATAAGATTGAAGCTGATAAGCTTCCATCCGTCCAGACAACAGAATATGTATCTGTTGGTGAGTGACCATTATTTTTCTCATTATTTTTCAGTGCTTTTTAATCAGTTGTGTGCATGTGTGGTCAGGCGAGTCCAGGTTATGATGTCTGCAAAATGGTCATTTTTTTTAGCCTAAATAGTCATCACTATAATGCATTTTCAAACTAGCTGATGTATAGGTCATTGATTCGAATCGGCCGATCTGCCTATCTATATAACCCTTCTGTGTGTTTAAACACCGACATGTAGTCAGTTCCGTGGATTGATACACTGCTGATCGATTGATTGATTGATTGACATGCGGAGTAGTTGGATGTCACACATACATCAGTCGGATTATTGAAGTGATGTGAACACCAGCGGATGACCGTTTCACTCATTTGAGGGTGAGCTCATCAGTCAGCAGTATATTCGATGTTTGACTCAACTCAAAGACGGAGAGCTGAATCAGTTCAAGTCAACCCGAGTGTTGGCTAGCTACTTGGGTTAACTGGTGATACCGTGAATCAAATTCGCAATTTACACAGTTCGAGATAATTATTTCCCTAGTTTCCTTTAGAAACAAGAACTATTCAGATCACACATAGAGTGTGATCTGATTGATACTATAAATGTGTTAAGATCACTTTGATCTGGCTGGCTAGCAATCACTACTAGTTTATATGTGAGGGGTATCCAACTACTTCTCCATCTCAATTAATCAGTAGTATTTGGTTTCATGCAATTGTGTTTGCTTGCTTGATTGCTATTTGTGGTATCATCAAGCAGGTCACATTTGGTGTGGCTCAATGGGTTGACAAGTTTGATCTTGTAACCTGAAGATCCCTAGTTATTTGATCCCCGGTGAGGTGGTGGGAGCACGCCGCTGAAGAGTCAGTCCGAAATAAAGGAGTGCTCGCTACTGGTTTCCAATGATCTCTCCCTAAATGATGCCGTTGGTTCGTGACGAAATCTATTAACTAAAACACTACGAATTTCGTTGAAATTTTTTAGTCGTTTTCTATATATAATATATATATATATATATAATTAAACGGTTATGCTTTTCAATCTACTCAACAGATCCAAATACATTGGAGAATACAAATATCTTATTGTCGACAAACTTACAAAATATGCCATCACTTATACGTAATGACTATACAGGTTATCAAGGAAGTTATTATGATACTACTGGTCCTACAAATCCGCTTCCTCTCCAGTCATTACCAGGATCACTTTCCGCCAGTACAGTACTCCCTGAAGACTACATTCCACCACCTCTGACTCCGTCTAATATCACTGCCACTGCTGGTTATCCAGTGGAGTTAATGGGAAGTACACCAGTTATGTCAATATCCCAACCAACGTCAATTCATCAATCACCTCTCCATCATCGGGATGGCAGTGGTATCCTGCAAATGTCGACGTCACCGACAACTCGAATAGATCCGGTTGATAATAATATTAATAACAATACTTGTGAATCAAGCTTGATGATTGATCCTTTCATAAAAACTGAGTATATAGATTATCAGGAATATATCAATGCCACACCTTCAGGTGGCAGTGGTAGTGGTAGAATACAGACGCTAGAAGCCGTATCACCAGCATCGGCAGCACCAGTAGGAGCCACGATGGTCTACACTTGTCAACCTTCATTTGACAACTCAGTATATTCTGTGAAACATATTGAAAATTCACTGAAATACTCGTCAAATCATATGATGAAATCAGTGATTCGATGTTCTGCTTCTGCTTCTGCTACGGCTTATTCTTCTTCAGGTTCTACTATTGTTCAGCCTAACCCGCCAGTGTTTATTTCTCATACAGTGTATACTAATAATGCCAACAGTAGTCGGATATCCTGTCCTCCAACTGTCCACCTTCAACATATAGTAAGTAATAATAGCCAAGTAGTGATAACTATGCCGCCGACCAGTTATGCACAATTCGCACCGCCACAGTCTCTTCATCAACCGGTTTATTCAATAGTTAATAATTCAACGCATCAAAAAGCGTCTACTATGACATCTATTATCACTACACCCACCACTGCTACTACTACCACTACTACTATAAATACCATGATCTATAATAATGGAGACTGTCGATCCCAACCAATTCTGGGTCAGGCTAGACATCAGCAAATCTTCCTCACCACCCCTTCTTCCTGCTCACCCCATCCATCCATCTCATCAAATGGTAATTGCACAATAAGTAATCATATGCCGCTGACAAACACAATCACACAATCCCGATGCACACCGAGTAATATATCGATTAAGAAAAATAAACCGCCGACATCGACGACAGAGACTATTTACGTGAATGATAGCACACTCTTCACTAGGAGTACATTACAACCCGTATTTACTAATGGACTGATTGGTAGTTTTCAATATTTAAAATCTAATGATTACGTAACATTAGTAAATCAACAATCACAAGAAACGTTGTTAGTACAACCATGTTTCTCGTCAATAAATAGTAATACCAATAGTGATAGTAATGTACAGGTTACCCAAAAGTCTAATCAGTATGATGCTTCAACGAAATCAGGTTTACCGGAATATTTACGTAGTAATCAGCTGAAAGGGAGTGGTGATCACTTACAACATTACGTCACTGATTTGCCCCAAAATTCGAACTTCGTACCTCGGTGTTCTTCATCGTCAGCCGCCTCATCCTCCACATCATCACTACAGTTTCACCCTCCTGTACGTCGGGTAAGTTTACTAGACAGTTGTTATGCATAATCAGTTTAATCGAATGATTTTGGGTTTTTGTTTAGAAATTTTAATTAATTCCAGCGTTGGTTGCTTTGATTGTATATTAGGCCGTCGCTCAAATGTCATGCGTCTGGTCCCCTTGGTGTTTATTGGTACAGACTGAATTGACTATCGACCAAGTCTGCAATATTGTCACCATCGGACTAGGCGGCTCGCCATGATGGTGCATTCTGAATTGTTATTAGGTGGTTGATGACAATCGGTGGGAAACCTCAGACGTAGGTCTCGTACTTTTTGGAACTGACCAGTCAATAAGGCGTATCTGCACTGCAATCATTTTGTAGCAACTCATGTGCCTTTCTTTAACATTCGGAGCCGACCGAGTGAAGCAGTGCTGCTGTCAGTCAGAGACGTGAGTTACCACTGAGCTATTCGAGCCCGCCATCCACCTCCTGTAGGACTGTAGTGGATACTTAGATTGGATACTAGGTAGTAACTAATGTCCTCCGTCTAGTCCTTTATTCGGTACAGACTGAATTCCATCAGCCAATCTCTAAGTCTGAGTGCTGCACAGGGTGACCTAGGCTCGAATCTCACACTGATACTTTCCCCATGTGCAACTAGTTGTATTGACCGTTGCTCTAGGAACTTATCTTTTCGTGCTCGAGAACATCTACCATTGTGTAATAAACCAATCAACAGTCTGATATTTTAGATCACCTGGTTCAAATAGGATATTTATCCATCATCTACCGGGCACTGAATAGACTGCCAAAAGCCTGTAGGTACCGAATATTCCGAAAAGTAGAGGCCATTGCAACACGCTTAAGACAGCCGGAACTGTGTGTTCAAAAAAGTAGGCTCAGCCATTATCGCTACCTTGGCCTGCTGTCGAATCTATAAAGTCATAAATTCTGTTTTACTTCCCTTAATTTGTCTGATATTCAGTTTAGTGTTACGTTTATGCATATTATCACTCACAGATGCTTTTGAACTGTAATCTATTGATCTTAGCATTATTTGAGAAACGTTAGTTTCATTAGTAATGATAATTCTCTAACTATTATGGACACATAACTGTAGAACCTGATGATAAAGTTATCGAAGAAATATATTCTTCGTTCGTTAATCTCAGTTTGTTGAAGTTTACAATGGTCATCTTCAGTCAATACTCACAAAAGTTCGTAAGCATCATTACTGGGATTGATCAATATCGTGAGGGTCTAGTATCTGGTGTGTTGGTGCATACTGAATTAAATATCAGTCAGTTGTTGGTCCACTTTGAATTGATGATATATGGTTGTAGGCGATCAGTCTGCAGAAAGCCCTGCCATTTAACCTAGGTTTCGTGTTTGTCACAACAGGGTATATCTGAAAGCTTTCAGGGAATCCATGCCCCCCTGTGATTTAAACACGAGCTTCATTCAGTGCTACAGTAGTCAGGGACATATCTGACTGACATACTGGTTTCAACGTAGAACTCTGCACTGATGTGCAGCAATTCGAGTTGCTACATTTCACGTAGCACACAAAGCAAGACAGGAGAGTAAAGAGAGATTCAAAAAACAGATAATAAACAGAAATATGATGCAAAAAGAATAGTAATATGGAAGAACAATAGAGTTTATTGGATATTCTAAATCACAAAGAGTGAATGCATCTACGCTGTGATTGACGATTTTTAGTCATATCACCGATTGTCTCCAACCATAGGTTCTTATCATCCTGAGGACCCCAAACACATCCAACCAGTCTACATCTCCCCACGTGGCTGGTTTAAATTAACTGTCAAGGATTTCATGGACTGATCCCAAGTCTAGGTTTCACCAACACAACCTATTTTCCAAACTGATACTGCGTCAGCTAACATTGCTCGTCGAGGATGGGGATGGCTAGGGATGCGTAACACGTGGTGTCCTAGTCAACTCAATCGATGTAACCCAGCCGTCGATGCTTAACCTCAATATTGCTCACCCTATTATGCCACTTAACACGGGAGATATAACGCAGACACCTATTATCATTATGGGGTTGTTATCCCCACTCATCCAACCTTGCCTCTTTTCCATAGGCTTACTGCCGAGCAGGTGCGGTTTCGAGAATGCGTCGGCATCCGGGAATTGGACTCCGGACCACGTGCTTGGTTGACGGGTGTTCCACCTTTGAACCGCCAACACGCACATCTTAGGTATGAAAGATGCCAAAGGTATTTGTATTATTATTTCCAGATTATTTTTGTTTTGAGAATCAGCTTCATGATGTTTTTTTATTTCTCCTACTGTCGGCGTCCGCCTCGTCCCGTACCACCGTCGCCTACTCATGAAATACATTTCCAATAGCATTCAGCTCCTTTTCAGTCTGTTAGTCAAAATTCTATGCCGCAACTCTCAGAAATAAGCATTCAACGATGTAAATTTCCAATGGTGGTATCTCAATGGCCGAATGAAAATCAACCCAATAACAATCATAGTAGAGTAATCCCATCGGTCTTATGTTGTCTATCAAACGCGAATTCAAACATCACTCTACCATCAATGGATCAACACGCGCCTAATACTACTGCTACGGCTACTACAACTACTAGTAATAGTACAAAGGTTATGCCTCTTATCGAGAATGATATGATGGTCTTGACAAATCGAAATCCTACCATTGTACAGTCACCATCGTCATCGAAATCATCATCAACGTCACCAGCACCACCGTCAGTACCCTCAGGAAGTGGAGTCGTCGGGTTATGCCAAATACAGTCAATTATAATGCCATCACAAGATAATAATAGTGATAATAAGTTACAAGAAGTTGAGAATAATAACAAGAGTAGTAACAATCAATTTACTATCTCGTCACCATTATCGATAAATTGTACCTCCCCGTTATCATTACCGTCGTCTTCATCAGTGTGTTGTCTACTTCGGCCGACAGGACGTTCAACGAGTATAAGTAGTGGTAGTAGTTGTTGTAGTACAAACAGTAGTAGTAGCAGCGGTAATACAACGTCTATTCCTTCTTCTTCTTGTTTTACTGGAGAGTATATTTGTTCAATATGTTCAGATCGTGCTAGTGGAAAACATTATGGTTAGTTATTATTTTTACTTTATCACTTATTTATGTTCTTATTTAATCACAAACTTAGTGCGTTAGGGGAACCACTAAGAAAGTGCACCACCCACTCACACACAAACTCCCCACCGATAGCTGTTACCACACTGATGTGATGCTAGTGGTTGGACTTACATATTGCAAACATCACCAACGACGTACACTGACTGGAACAAATTTTTTCTTTCTCATATGACTCTCAGATTACCGACACTATGAAATTTGATTTCCTGAAATATTTGAAATATCGTAAGAGCCCTAGTGTTTCGCGACAACAGAACTCAGAAGACAACTGCCGGAAGCCGATTACACATATGACGTGTTTAAAATTAGGTGTATAGTTACGCCCGTACGTATTGTCGGCTACGGACTGTCGCAAGGTGAGTCGGAGATGTGCACATTTCGTGGTCGACACCTTTTGACCTCCCCTCTCTCTCCAGCTTGGAGAGACAGTACATATGCCTTCTGGTGGTGGTTATCTGAAGGAAACACCTTACTGCTGTTACATCCCCCTGTTCACCATCCGTACGACCTCGCCGACATATCTGCAACATAGTGTAAACAATTTACACTACGTGGTGTTAATCGACTTTAGTTTAACCTCTATCCTCGAATGACCTATCCTCCATAGTAGGAGGTAAAGAAACACTGGTTCCTGCTGATGTGGCTGATTGAGCCCTTGCGATATTTGTGACTAACCACAAGCAACACATAGTCACCTACAACATAAAGATGAATTTGATCATTGAGTAACATTTTATCATCTTTTCCTTTCCTTTTGTGATCTGAGTCGGACTTAGAGCTTCAAACTTCTGAGATCCCACTGGCAGTGGCGTTGTCTGTGTTTATGGAGTGGGGTCAGTTAGCCTTACATACCCAACCTTTCCTCTTCACGTGGCTTACTATCTCCAGGCTATGGTGGTGAGATTTTGGAGTGCGTCCGTGACCGTGAGTTGTAGTCCCGGGCCATCACGTACCTGACTGGTGAGCAGTACTCTACCACTGAACCGACCGACGCACAATAAACTTACTCTAGTTTTATAAGAAAAAGACTTAAACAGAGAAGAAAATTTTATGATTTACTCTAGTTTATTTTGAATTTTATGATGAGGACGGCCAACACACACAATACGATATATTAGGTGCTTTTTATGTGAGTATATGGTGGCATTCTAATTGCGAAACTACCACAGACTAAACTCTTAAGCTAACAGAAAAAAGTAAAAATTAATATATCCTCTGTGACGAATCACTCACTGTCTTTACCATTTTGCAGTTTAACTTGTCACATTCCTCATATACCTCAAAAGGATAGAAAAAAGAGGAGTGTACGGGAGAAAGAATGGTAATATGCTGCAAGCACACGAGGGTTAAATAGAATATGGGTGATTACAATGAGTGAATGTATCTGTGCCATTGAGAACAGTCTTCAGCCATGTCACCATTGACTCTTAGCGCCTTCTCGAGGACTCCAATCGCTCAGGCAGTGTCTGGATTAATGCCAGATTTTGGTTTGACCACCTTTAACTCCTCCTATCTAGATGTATATCACCTAACACTGGTGGACAAAGAAGGCAGTGGCTTGGCTGCCACACGTGTTCTCTCACCATTCAACTTTGAATACTGTGATCTTGATCAATATATACATTTACTTTAATGCACTGTAGAGGTGGATTTGTGGTAATAATTTTGTCGTCTGATATGACGGGTTAGGACTACTGAGAAGTTTAAAGTAAAGTCGACTGTCTTTGTTGGTTGGTTGGGGGAAGCATTCAGGGACTGTCTGACTGGTGTTGGTTTTCTGACGAAAATTATCTCGCTGTTTTGTTTTTACACTGCACAGGTGTCATTTCCTGCGAAGGATGTAAAGGTTTCTTTAAGCGTACTGTACGCAAAGAGCTAACGTATATTTGTCGTGATAATCAAGATTGTCAAATTGATAAACGATTGCGTAATCGTTGCCAGTATTGTCGTTATCAAAAATGCTTACGTGTTGGAATGCGAAGAGAAGGTGAGTCCTGGCTTTTTTTCTGGGTAAATGTTTCTTTCAATCAAGATAAGGTCAAAGATTCAGCTCATCAAGTGTTGGTTTGCAAGGGTTTAATTGATTTCAATTTTAATCACGTATTGACTTCAGCTAGAGAAACATTGGAGAGCTGTTTTGTCCTTGTTTAGAACTCTTTGACAGTACGTACCCATTACTCCTCACCAGAGATCGAACTACCCCGGACTTTCTGGTTCTGTTGCTGAGATCGGCCTATGAATTCTAACTCCTGCCATTTCGTGATATCGCGCGAATGTCAACCAAAGCTTGGAATGAGTATTTGTCCTCAAGCCCAACTTGATGAATCCTGCTGATCATGGCTTCCCAATGGAACTTCTGGCAACTTCATCATGTAGTTAGTTAGTCATCAGGGTGCAGTGGTTCTCCAACTGAAGCCAATTCGTAACCAAAATTTGATTCAGATCTTGTATCAAGTAGTATATTATCTTTGATGCATATTATAGAAACGTAAACTTTCAAGCCATAGGTAAAGATGCTGATAAAGCGTGGATCCTTGTGGATACGTTGAACAGAAATTTTTGAATGGTTCATCCCTTTGATATGTAGGATGCTGCTGCGGGACTAGTTTGAACCGATTCTTAGTTTAAGAATGGGCAATGAGCGTGTTGACAACCACCTCACTTATTCGGGAAATTGCACCAACTACAACGGGCTAATTGCTGACGAAATCTCAGCAAGAATAGAAGAGACTCGCTGGGGATTTGCCGACTGATGCCGGCTGGCTACCTATTAAAGGACGTGTTTACTGCGAGGGAGAAGTTCACTGTGTCCTTCTTAATGACTGTGAGAAGCGCTATAATGGAACATCTCATCTGACTCATACATTATTCAGAGTCACTTACAACGTAAACAAAAGTGTGCCAACGGAAGTGTGTTTCTGACTTCTTTATACTGAAGCAGTCTTATTCACATACATCAAGAAGCCGAAGCGGCTGTTAAGTGGAAGTAGCTTCCAACTCATTTGGGTTTTATGTAGTGATTACGTTGATTTTCCAGGACTTCAAAGATATATATATATATATATATATATATATATATATAAATCACTTCGGTTTTGGACAGATAAGGCTATTGAAAGAGTTTGAGAGATTAAGCAATTATTCTGATTGATGCTGTTTGCTAGTTAGTGTTCACTATGTGTGTGCAGTGCATCCTATTTAGACTCGCTGGCAGCTGGATGTACTTGCATCCCTAGTGAGTGTGCAGTGTGTGAGCGAGTAATGGTGTGTCTGCATTGATACTCAAACTTAGCTAGCATTAACTGTTTCAAACACCAAAGCTTTGTCCATTTGTGGCCATCTGACACCCAGTGTATAACGCTTTCAAGTTTGAAATAATGAGTGTTGGGTTCGAGCTTTGGTGGGAGAACTTCAACATCTCTAGATGAGAATGTACGTCCTGCTGTTGATAAATGCCAAATAACACCAAAGGTTGATGTTGTATGGAAAAAACCTTCGACGAAAATAAGTAATATTCCCCTGTTGTTATACGTCAGTTACCCAAAAGAGATACTGTAAGCATGATCTGGTGCGTCGGTGGCATAGTGGTTGGGACTCCCGCCGACCATGCAAATGGTTCGGGGTTCGATCCCCTGCCGACGCACACCTGATATCTATGGTCAGCCTGCAAAATTTGGGCTACCGGTATCACATGCTGAAAATTCCATACCTGTACCAAAAATACGGTGTGGAATCAAGCTGAAATCAGAATCAGAATCAAATGATGGTCCATAAGTATGGTGTGTTTTGTGCCGACTAAATGCAAAGTATTGTTGCAAGATTAGCAGGAGGCTGTACCTGCACTCACTCCTTCAGCTGAACGCCTTGAAGTTGTCGACAAGTTCGTATACCTAGTTAGTTGTGTGAGTGCTGGTGGAAATGTGATGGACGAAATCTCTAACCGTATTTAGTAAAAGCTAGTTTGGCTTACACCAATTTCCAGCCACATTTGGCATTGTCGCGCCATCAACCTGACTGTCAAACGTCGGGTTGACAATCTGTCGGTGCGCCCATTCTTGCTTTGGCCTGTCTGAGCTAAAGATGATGGTCGACTTTGCTCATTCAATCATCGCTGCCTCCGTATAATTACTTGGGTCCTATGTCATCATTGTGTGAGTAATTTTGAGGTCCGGTAGCGTGTGTTTGGACACAATGTGGTCACTGTCTATTGATTGTCATCATCTAGAAACACCGGCTTCGATGGATCAGACATGTGCTACGAATTTCACCTCATAATCTCCTATACCGCTCATTGTTCTGTAGTCATGAGACTGTGTGGAAAATACGGAGAAATAGGTGGTCAGCTTATGGAGTGGTGCCGTGGGATGGAAGATGTCTGCTTTGGGTTAGCATCCGTTGGTGAAGTCAGAGAGATAATTTGATTCGATGGTATGAGACATCAGATGTTGTGGTCAAGAATGGTAATTGAATGGCAAACATGCTGCACTTTCCTTAAGACTGCCTTAGGGGGCCACCCACTGAGTGTATGGAGGGGTCTTGAAGTCTGATCTACAAGGTAGTGTAGTAGAGCTGTGTTCCCACAGTTGCCAATAACCTAGGGGAGGTTTATACGCCATTCTATCCTTTTTGATTCTGGTGCCCATGTGCACACCATAGGTTTGGAATAGTAAGGGTTTTCCAGTCAACTTCTAGTTAGGTAGACCTATATTTTCTCCACCAATTAGTCCGGTTGTAAGCACCCGACGTTCTCATTCTCTCTTCCGACTTCCTCACCATGTGAAGGCAATGAATAAGTGGACTTAATTGATGATAGAAGCTATGAATGTGTGTGGCCACGTGCACATACATAGTCTATCCACGGAACCTTAGGCTGTATGACGTCGTTTATGTTATTCATATTTATGTTTATGGTATACGTTCCACTTCTGTATACAATTTCGTTTATTTGTATGTGAATTTTCAGCCGTTCAAGAAGAACGTCAGCAGCAACAACAGTCTGGAGTTCAAAATTCACCGCCAACATTGTGTAACTACACTTATGAACAATTCACCGGTAATGGAAGTAGTTGTAGTAGTAATAAGAGTACTACTACTGCTGGTACTACACTGAATTATATTTGTGGTTGTCGTGGTGGGACTTTAGAACAAGATGAACAAAAATCGACGCTATCACAAGCTAACCACCGACCACCAACTCCTCAATCCACTGGTCTTATTACAAATAATTCCACTGTCAATGATTCCTACCATCATTATCAGTCGAAAGAATTGTCGTCAGAAGTTATCCCGCCGACACTGACACTTCCGCTTCCACTGCCTCCAGATGCTTTGGAGTATATTCGTACTGCGGAGTTGATTGTGACAAATCAACGTAAATTATGGCTGAAATGTTACGACAGGAAGAAGCGTGTTATGGTGTCGGATGTAATGACTACATTTCTGCAAGATATTTATGTCCGTGATAAGAAAGGTGATGGTTGTGGGCATTTAGATGTGGAACAATTGAAAAATTGTTTTGGAAAGGTCAGTCTACCTTCATTTCCCCCGTTAATATTTAAGCACTGTTCAGTATTATTATTATTCTCATATTTTCCGAGCGGAACATAGGGCTTCAGCTGGGGGACATCTCCATTTCATCCTGTTTTATGCACTTCTCTCATTCTGGCTGGACGAGACAGCAGATAAACTTTCATCTTTTCCTTCGGATACATTTCCAACTCGTCTTAACCCATTCGGCTTCTACTCGAGGGTCTGCCTGAAAATCGCGTGATGTCAGTCGATGGTCTCCTCAGTGATTGTGTGCAATCCATCTATACATCCATTACAATTTCCTTCTATATTCACTGATTGGGCAATAGGCTGTTGTCCGGTTCGTTGCCCGAATATCTTGTTGCATGATTATTCTTTCTGGGATGGCCATCGGAAATTCAGTATCGGTGTAGCGAAGGTTAAGTCTCTGAACCACATAAGAAGCACTCAGAGATGACGACTTGGTGTGTGTTGAAAATCTGAATCCTGTTTCTCATGCTGAGTGTGATAAATTTCCACACTGATTTCAGAGTAATGACAGTTTGTTTGCTTTTCAGATCCTGACTAGTTTTGTCAACCTGGATAAATGAAAAGTATGACTTCCTTAAAATTCCTCACAACTTGTTTGTTCTCGCTTATGGATCTTCACGTTTGTGAGACGAGACATAAATCACCTCCACGAAGTCCGGATCTTTTAGTCACCTCAACGTATACCCAAGAAACAGTCAATAGTAGATTGAATTCAAATTACGAGATCGATTACAAACTGACATCATATATTGAGAACCATTGAAAACCACTACTGGAGTACTAGACATCCGTCTTGTGCTTCGTTGGGACCCTTCAGCAATTCTCACCCATGAGGCCCCACCAGAGATCGGAGCCAAAAACTCCGGGTTACAAGACGAGCACATATACCATTCAGTCACTGGGGCTGGAGAGATACTCTGACTTCCACCAATTCGTGGTGAGAATTAGTCTTCACACCCGACTAGTTGGTGAACCCCACTTGTCACTACTTCTCACTAGATCTTCAGGCAACTTTATCTTATAGTCAGTCAGTCACCAATGTAGACTAGTTTAATTTTCAAGTGTTAGTTTTCAGTAGTTCAACTGATTTCAGGATTGATGAAGAATTCAAATAGTTAGGGGGTGGACTTCGTCATCAGTCGGGATAGATTTAGGAAGATATGTTATTCTGGAGTTCAAGTCAACAGTTTGATAATACTGATGTGCTCAATATGTGATGGACAGTTATGAGTGTGTCCCACTGAATAAAAAGCTATCCAGTTCACATTGATTTTACATACTCTATCATTCACTTGCGTTTTTTTTAACGAGGTGGGATCGTTACAGTCTCACGTCCCCAACCTTCTTTACTTTTCTAGACTAGTCAACTAGAGTCGCTAGCCATGAATCGAACCTAGACCACGGGAGTGTTTGGCGATGTATTCTACCAGCGAAACATCGACTCACGAAGTGAATAACAGTTCCTTAATAATGTCACATGAACTCAAAGAAATACATGCGAAAACCAGTAAGTTAGCAGAATGAGCAGACAGTGAAGGCAGAACTTTTCAAGTGGACATATACATGGCAGAAGTGATAAAGTTACCCCACTGACCAACAACAACAACAAGCACCAATCATCATCACTAGTGAGAGAAATCCAAAGAGAGTAAACTCTTTTACTTATCTGAACAAGGCAACATTGTTTCAACTACAGACAGAGGCACAGTTGAAGGTGTCACAGCCAGCCAACCACGCAGGATTGAAAAAGCCAGACAGACCTTTATCACACTGAAATCAGTATGGAAGTCTACTGCACTCACTCAGTATAATTAACAAGATTCAGTTTTTTAACAATCATGTCAAGTCAGTGAGTGCTTCCAGTACCATGGGTGTGCGCATCACGAAAAGCATTTCCATCATCAACATATCATAATGAAGGTCGGATGGCTCGTCTGGGAACGAATCGGCCGACAAGCTATCGCCTAACAAGTATGTAGACGGAAATTGAGCTGGATCGGATACGCTGTAAGGACACCATCGGATGATTTGCGCGAAGCCCCTCGAGTTTAAGCCGGAAGGGAAGTGAACGATTAGTGGGGTGTGTATCTGAGGGTGACATGGAAGAGATCATGTGGTAGTGTAAGAAGTAGGAAGTGAAGGCTTGTGTGAATCCCGCAATCGTGGAACCATTAAGTGGAACATAGTGAAATGGAGATGTGCCTAGTTTGTGAAGCCGTATTGTTCACTCAGAACCCAAAGGGATAATAATAATATTGATAGTATTCTCTAACTACTGTTTTCAATTGTTTGTTGTTTTTACTGTTTTTGTAGTGTCCCACAACAGCTGTGGATCACTTCATACCACTTTTGGATTTGATAATTTGGTCTTCAAAGCTACCCTATATGAGTCAATTATCTTGTAATGTTCAATTAGATCTACTCAAATCAGGTAAGGTTGTCATGTTTTATCGGCAACCATTTGCAATTATCATCATCATTATCATATTGGTCTAATTATAATGCATGTGTGCCAAGTAAACACATACCCTCACATGCCTTCACTCTCCAACTAACTAACTAACAAACAGACAGATACGAATATTCCATGTGTATAGCCAAATATTAAATCAGTTATACTGAAACAGATTTTCCAAGTCATAGGCTGTGGCACTTATTGTGTGTGTCGGAAGGGGGTTTCACTGTTCATACTAGCTTGATGCGTAATCAGAGCAGAATTTGAACGTTGGGACTCAGTATTTTAGGTAAGAGTTGGTGATGAAATCTTAAATCATGGATACAAAAAGGCTCGTGTGGAATTTACTTGCCAACTTACGTCATCTATCTGTGGTGCAAACGTGATGGATATTTGGCTATTGATCAGTGGACGTGTGTACACAGCAGCAACAGTTCTGTCTGTATGTCTTTTTGTGTTCCTGTGATTGAAAAATAGAAGTGGAAAGATATGATGAAAAAGCTGTCTAACTGACTTTGACTACAAATGTTTGCGTTCTGTCTTTTTCATGTTAAGTCGTATAATATGGTGAGAAATATTGAGGTTAGGTATAGACTGTTAGATAGGTAAAGAAACTCAGTTGGTCAGGTTGCAAAGTTGAGATGGTGAGGACACCATGTTCCTCACGTTCTTTGCAGTCCTGTTTATCTGGCTCCACAATTAATCGTAGGCTTTCATCTCCTCTTTTCCCATTAGTGTTCCACTCAAGGGCATGACTTGGCGCGTGATGTCACAGTCTCTCCAATCCATCCATCTCCATTTCCTTCTGCATGATTGTTAGACAATAGGTTCGTTGCTAATCCTTTCTGGTCGGCCATCTGATCTTTAGTATCGATGCAACGAAGACATATACTGATGAAAGTCCGCAGTAGTTTGTTGGGATTGCGTTTCTTGAGGTGTGCGCGCCAAGTGTCTGAACCATATAAAGGCATTCACTGACTTGAAATTAATGTTGAGAATTCTAATCTTGTTCTTTATGCTGAGTACACTAGATTTCCACACAGATTTCAGAGTAAAAGTTTGTCTTGCTTTTCTGATCCTGGGTGACTGGCTTTGACGTCTTCATCTGTGCGGCCTTGTCTACCTGTAGTTGGGACGATGCTGTCTGACTAGATTAATGATAGAGATGACCTCCTTCAAACCCCTCCCGTTGATTGATAGTGATTGTTGCTTGCTGATGTTGATATTGGTTGGTCGATCGGTTATTTTCATCACCTCTCTCTTCTTCTTATTCTCTTATACCGCTTGAAGTCCTGTTGTCGTCGCTTCCTCTGCCAATGTTTGTTAGCTTTCGTCTGTCCAATCCATCTTTATTTCCTTCTGCATATATGTTGACTGAGCAATAGGTTGTCGGTTGTCGTTCGTTGCCTGTCAGAATTCCTTGCTGCTAATCCTTTCTGGCCTCCTCCAGACATCTAATCTTCGGTATGGAGTGAATGCAGATGTTGATAAAAGCCTGCCCTAGGTTGCTGGAAATGTTGTTTTTGGTGACTCGCTAGCAAAGTCTCTGAACCATATAGAAGCACTGATTGACACTTGACGACATTGGTGTCACAAATGTGAATCCTGTTCCTTCACTTGAAAAGTCCTGTCTTTGCTGCTTGCTTCTTCCGTCAATCACATTATTTTAATGCCCATTGCCTTCATGGTATCATTATTGATTCATTGACCGACTGATCGGCTGATCGATTTTTTGATCAGGGTTAGGGTGACTTAGCTAGTTGGTTGTTTTAATATGACCTAAGAAGAATCAATTTTGTTTGAACTCAATTCACATCATATCATATATCACAGTTATAATTTATGTTTCTGTGATCAATAAGTCTCTCTAGTTATATATTTTTATGTCTATGCCTTATTATACTATGCTGACCACTTATTTATGAAAAACGTATTTATGTGATGTAAGCGTTTCTCTTTGTTTACTTAGCATGTATGTAATTATTTGTATTGATAATATATATATATATATATATATATATATATATATATATATACTGCTATTAGGTCTCTGTATGTTTGTATACCTGTCTGCTTGCGTGTGTGTTTCCATGTGTCTGCCGTGTTGGTTAGATTTGCACACATCTACTGATTGATGTAGTGTGTGTTCATATACACAGACGCACGCACTCAAGCATGCAAGTACTGACACACACAGACTTGTATGTATTTATCAATGTTTTGTTGTTGTTCGAAAGCTACCGTTGTTTCACTTTTTATTATGATATGCTACGTAACAGTATTCATACTAGACTGGAACTGTGTATTTATGTGATATTTTGATTTTCAAGTGTATTGGTTTCCGTCAGGGTGTGGGGGAGATTTGGATGATTTCGAGATTTAATGATCACGGATTGACTAACTGACACATTATTTAGTGAAAACCATTGAAAGCCATCGGCGGAGCTGTCTCATCCTCATTGTTTGGGATTCCTCATTATCAGTACTGAGTCAGGTAGGGAGATGCAGACTTCCGGGTTGGGGCCCTCGGGACTCTAAGAATCAATGGCTGGAGACAATAGGTGACATGGCTCAAAGTCGTTGTCAATGGCGCAGATGTATTCAGTCTCTTTAACCTTCATATTCCTTTCTACCATTACTCATTCTGTTTCACTCTTATACTTATCTAAATTTTATTGATTCTCTTCTCTCATTTTCCTGTCTACCTTTGTGTGCTATTTGGAACGTGGCAACTCGAACTGCTGCACTTCGGTGCCAAGTTCTATGTTGAATCCAGCAGCAGCAGTAGTACTCACCCATGAACCCACTACTGTTAGGGATCCAACCATACAACACCCAATTTTCTTATGTTCACGCCAGACCATGTTGACCGTTCAGTCACTGGAAGCAAACAGTCTATACGTCCTACTTCGTGTCAGTTTGCGCTTTTTAGCACAACTGGCAAAGAGTTTCAACGGTGTGTTTGTCCTCACACTGGGGAACTTTTGGAACCTCAGCGGTCACGACTTTCACTTGAACTTAAATTCATACGTCATAAGTATCCAGACTGTAGGTGTTATGAATTTCGTGGAATATTTTTAGCGCTGAGTCAGATTGAATCATTATAAATTATATAAGAAAAAAATCTGATTTTTTCTTAAACACGCTGGGATTATTTGAAGTAATTTATAACTTCAGTTAGTTTGATTTTGATTGAAGTATCTATACTTCAGAAAAGCTCTTACACACACACGCAGTACCAAACGAAAGTAGACGAAAATATAGCAGAGAAAAATATAATTTGATAAAAATTACTGAAGGCTTTTAGGATCTGAATAACGGTGACTAGGAGGTTGAGTATCTTTCGTGGCATTGGAAAACATTTGCGATTAATATCCTCCGACGACTCAGGAACTTTAGGTTATGAGGCGACCAAACAGTCACTGGGGCTGGAACCAACTGCTCATTATTCCTAACTTCCGTCACCGTTGAAGAGTTCCGAAATAGGACAAAACGGCTATCCAGTACTCCCTGTTGCGTGTTTTCACTGGCTTTCTCTAAATGACATCAATCCGTGATCAAGCTTGAAACTAATCCAATCCCTATAGACTAACAAGTGATAATTGGTTTTATTCTCACTGGTGACTTACCAATTGACTACAGGAGGATGAAGTTCCCTGGAGTTCAAGTGACGAGTTGTGACCACTAACACCAACGAAGTCATCAAGCGTATGATGCTCACCGATAACATTGGCTTTTGGTGGTGGTAAAAATGGCGAATGACCAGAAGTTAAAATTTCTGTATTGACTGTTGGTGGCTTAATAGTCAACAAGCACTCGTGGTAACTCCAAGCCCTTGGGTTCTGTTCTTGTCAGTGGGGACATAGGTGTGCGCATTGCTAACGAAGAGTCGAGAACTAGGGAGATGGAAGTGCTGTCCACTACTCCTGGGTGGTTTTGTCAACGGTTCTCTAAGTTATATCATTCCGTAATCAAACCTCGACAGAATGGTGTCATGTGCATTTTGTTCCGTTTAGGACTCAATAGTCAATTGGATGTGTACCTCTACATAGAGTGTATCAACTCGAACTGTTGCACATCTGTGCAAAGTTCTATTTTGAAACCAGTCAGTCACTACCTCTACATCTGATGAGTAATTGACGTCATTCATGCTGAAACCGTTTAACTCACCTGTTGTTCTTTCTACACACATGGAAGCGTTTTATCCACTGGGCCACAAGAGCCACCTCTTGTTCAACTGATTTCGGTTATATTGTAGACTCTTCTCGTATGGGGGACGCTTTGAATCGATAGTTAAATAGGCTACCGATGGAATCCAGTAAAACTTGGATGGTGTGTCGCAGTCTTACCGGTGATGCAGGCACTTCCAGCTGACTGGGGTCCCATCAAGGGTCAAACACACTCCACTTCTTAGCCAACTACCAAATAACGTCTGAAACTAGAATTGTTCATAGCCTATGTGGTTTCAGGCATATTGCCCTATTCACTGTCTTCACTCTGGTGTGGGGAGCGGTGTTCCTCACAAAAGTTAGAGGGGAGAATGCGAATGTCTGACGCATACAGCCGGAATACCGGTGGAGGATGTGCAGATCTATATACCTAGGGGTTGGCTGGGAAACTGAATATTCCATAATTATGGTGCGTACATGGACTCCAGAATCCTAAAGGGTCGAAGGATGTGTGAACCTGTCCCTTGATCACTAGCGACCATGGAAATGTAGTAGCTCTCGACACTGCTCCTCTGTATGGCCTTGTAGATCAGACCAGAAATCAAATGCTCGGCGGTGGCCGCTAGCAGAGGAGTGACCCCACCACCTGCTTCGGTGTTAGGGCCCCGGCAGTAAGTATCCCAACCCTCTCACAAACTGAAATTTTATATGGTACATCTTTTGGAGGTCATCATAGTGTGTACCAAGTTTATGTTTTATATTAATAGTAGTGATAATATGTCAGACTGTAGTAAAGAATTTGTCCACTGTTGCACAATCGTTTTCAACTCTTATGCCAGGGAGATCTATTCATTGACCGTTTGAACTTTATCTCCTTTGTTTTCTTCCCCATCTACCTCTCTCTCTCTTTTTTTCCTCTTTCTTGTAGCATGTATCCAATTAATTCTTGTCAATTTGGCCTATCGATTAGCCAATAATAATGATAGTGATAATCGATCAGATTCAGCTAATGTCAGTAACAACAACAAGGAGAACACCGTCAGTTCCACCACCACAGGAAGAGGAACATCGGCGACCAAGATGATCGATGAGGATGTTAAAGACTTTCCGGAATTTCATTTACTTAATAATTTAACAAAATCAATTCATACTACTGCTACTGCTACTACTACTACTACTAAACAACAACAGCGATAATAACGTTGAAGATGACGGTTATAAAAGTAATAGTTGTAGTGACAGTAATACTACTACTAACAGTAATAATAATAACGTTCAAAACCGTCATGATCATGATGATCATCATCATCATCAATTTTCTAGTAAAAGTGGCAGTGTTGACAAGTTGATTATTAATCTGGCTGAAAAACTGAGATCATTACATTTGGATTCTGTGGAATTGGGTTGTTTAAAGTTAATTCTGTTACTCAATCCAGGTAAGTAATATATGCTACCTTTTTTCAGCGGTCTTATTTTATGTATTTGTTTGTTTGCAAGGTCGTGGTTTCGAACTCCGTCACCTACTCTTCATCTGGCTGAGTTTCCAAATCGTGGAGCTTCTGTGCATAAAAGTGTGTAGCTGTTCAAGTTGTCATAGTCTCTATAAGTATACAGAGAAACATGGTGACAGAATAGATCTAAGAGATTATAAAAAGACTGAATGTATCTGCTTGATTGAGAATATGGATGTTGAATCATACCGCACGAATATTTGCCAGCCTTCGTTGTTTCCTAGCATCTGGATGACCCAAGTCAGACAGCAGGTCTACCACACCTATATATGGCTGGTTCAAACCAACAGTCAAAGACTTAACATGGATCGATTCCAGGTTTTCGATTTCATCACCCCTAACCATTTTCCATGTGTGCGTCGGTGGCATAGCGGTTAGGACGCTCGCCGATTATGCACATGGTCCGGGGTTCGATTCCCGGCCGGCGCACTCCTTTACCTCGCTAAGCCAGAACTAAAAGGCTGGTGAAGAGGAAAGGTTGGGCATGAGGCTAACATCCTGTAAAAATAAACACTGCTACAGGAACCTCAAGCCTCTAGCTTGAAGCCCTATGATCCACTGACATGAAGGAATAAAAAAAAACCATTTTCCAGGTTATTTCTATGTTAGCTAACAATGCTCGTCGTGGAATAAAGTAAGTCATATATCCCCTAGCCTTCTACATCGGTATAGTTTCACAATCTGATTGATTGGTTTCCTTTGCTTATTGCAACAGAAAACGCAGTGAAGCCTTTGAACTTGAGACAAGAGTAAGACAGGGTTTCCAACTATCACCGATGATATTCTTAATAATGGTCGACTGGACTATGCAGAAGACTGTGGGTGGGGAGCAAGAAGTCAGGAATATGTTAGGCCAACAATATGACTACAAGATTTAGCGTAAATGATTTATGTTTAATGTCACATAAATTCGAAGAATCATAGGCGAAAACCAACAAACTGACAGAAGAGACTAGCAGCAAAGTGAGGACTTCATGTGAATACAAAGAAGACAGAGGTGATAAAGGTAATCAACAAACAACTACTAGCATCAATCTCTGTCAACGGGATAAATTTGAAAGACGTTACTACCTTCACTTATCTAGGTAGCGTCATCTTAACTGCAGGTGACAGCACAGATGAGGATGTGATAAAACCAGTATCGGAGAGGTAAAGCAGACCTTCATCACTCTGGAATCAGTTTGGAAATCTTCCGCTCTCAACATTAAGAACAAAATTCAGATTTTCAACAGTAATGTTAAGTCACTCAGTGTTTCTGTATGGGTCGGTAACTTGACATTGGCGTCATGAAAGGTATTTATAACAAGTAAATGCAGGCAGGTACCTTCACTTCATATTAAAGATCAGGTGACCATAGGAATTAGGAAGAAGAAACTCTGGGGAAAATGGAAATGGATCGGACACACTCTGAGGAGACCGTCGAATGAAATCGCACGCCAGGTCATCACTCGAGTGGAACCCGAACGAGCAACGACGAGAGGGTGACATAGAGGATGTCTTGTAAGGAGGAGATGAAAGCTTAAGGGCAATTGTGTGACCAGATGAAGAGGGTTGGAGATAATAGGACAAAGTGAAGATGGCCCAAGGAATAATAATGATAATGCATTAGTACTGACCATGTTATATCACTATTTCATATTACTTCGAGAAAATGGGGATATAAGGAAATGCTTTCATGTTTACCACTCGACTACAATTCTAGGTCATTTCTGATAACACCTCGAGCTACTGGTTCTAATTATCTCTAAATTCTGAAGTCTTATTGTATTTGTTTGTTTTTAGGGTAATGGGTTCCAACCCCTGCGTCCCCACCACTTCCCTTTGGCCTTTATGCAGCTAAGTAACTGAATCGGGTTTTCAAATGATAGAACCATTATGCGCAAAAGTGTGTAGCAATTCAAGTTGTAACTCTCACTGGGTACATGGTACAACTTAGTGGATTCGAAAATTGAAAAGAACGGTGTGAATCCATCTGGATTATTGAGAGCAGTTTTTAGTGATATGTCACCACTACTCTGATGTTATTGGCTCTTAGCATCCTGAGGACTCCACCTAATCAGTCTACACCCCTCATTGTGGCGGCCCTAACGGACTGTCGAAGACTTCATGTATTGATTCACGGTCTCGGTCTGACCCCACCTGTAACTCATTTCCAGGCTAATTCTATGTTAGCTAGCATTTCTCATCAAGGAAGATGGTGACCTGGTATGCTTAAAACATATCATAACTATCCCAATTTAGTGTAGCTTCACAACCTAGTCGATTGAATTACCCTCCATTTCTACCACTCTACGCCCAACCGTCTCAATATTGGTCACCATATTATACCGCTTAACAAACACTGGGGATAGAACGCAGAAATCTATGCTCAAAGACAACTAACTGGTCTTTTCATCTTCCTCTTTCCATGTTCAGGTCTCACTCTTAGCCATTAAGGAGAACAAAGTGAACTTCTGCTGTTCAGTGGACACATTATTTAATCGACAGCTGCATATCACGTCTACATACTGAATTATGCAGTAGTACCACACTGTACTTATTAATTATGCAATTATATATATATATATAGGCCACTGATTCTAGTATGTGTTTTACATTCCAGGCACTCTTGAGTCACGAGTTCGAACTCGGCTGTATCTATCGAGTTTTAAACAACTATTAGCCCGTCTTTCACGCTATAGTTTGGCGTATAGCTCATTGCTAACATTTCATTTTAACTAATATCTATTCCCTTTTGTCTTTCTCTCCCTCTACGTGTTTACAGACTCCCTGACTTCATATCCCAGTCATGTTACCTTACAAATTGAATTATTACGTGATCAAGTCTATTCTGGCCTAGAGTATTATTGTAATCAAATATGGTCTAGTGCACCACATGGACGTATGGGACGTCTTTTATTGAAGTTATCGAATTTCCAATCGCTTACATCACGTATTAAAAAGTTTACTTGTTCCAATGAATTATCTAGCCTTTTATCTACCCTGGCGTCGATATTCACATGTCTGATTATGAAAAGCGACAAAGCGACGACTATGATGTCGGTAGCGAAGACGGATCCTGATGCCATTATTCTCTGTCCCTCCCCAATGAATACTACGAATAATGATAATAGTAATATTTCTCAGGAATTTTTGTAAAAGTGGATCACATTATTATTATTATTATATATTATTATTATTATTATTACTAACAGCTTCTTCGTAGACTTGACAACTCACTCATACACTGTTCACATTTCTTTTGACCTGTGAATTATTTCAATAATTAAGTGGATACTTATTATTTATTATTATAATTATTGTTTTTTTGATTATTCAATTTTTCAGTTTATTTATTCATTATTTTATTTGTCTAAGAGATTACAGTCCATGTTGTTGTCAGGGTTTTTGGAGGTTCTTCCGACTGTTTTTTGTGCCACACACACTCATAGATGCACTCACCTACTACCTACCTCTTTTGATTACCCGTGTGTCGATCCCAACTACTGGAATGTGGTGTCTATCTTGGCGTCTGTCTGCCTGTGTGTGTGGCATGTTTCCGAGGTGGTTTTCTGCTACTTTTAACGTGTCTTATACAATTCACTATTACCACTTTACTTATTCTGTCGATCAATAATTTATTGCTGTGGAGCGAGGAAACTGTCCACGTCTTGCACTCTCTTTCTATCTATTCTCCTTCGTATTCTTCTGATAATTATTACTATTATTATCTTGGCTGTGGTTTTTTCTCCTTTTTTGTCAAATATCTCAGGGATGTATGTATGATGAAATCTTCTGACTAGCCAGCCAAGTAATTCTTTAAAAAAATACGCATATACATATATAATAACCTCAGTTACATATGAAATAACGTATGTTCTTCAACATTTGTCACACTCTCTGTCTCTCTCTCTCCGTCTCTAAAACTCATCTCTTCAGGTACTATGTCCAAGTGTGTCTGTCCGTTTTTGACGTGGATCAGAGATAAACAACACAACCGGTGGACGTTTAGAAAAAAAGAGTTCCGTGAAGAAAACTTCGGGAATATCCATCCATCGTTCTTCGTTTCTTTGTTGAGTTTTTTTTATCCTTCGGTTTTCTGTTATTATTATTCCATACAACTTATGTAATAATAATTGCCCACTCGAATCTTAATCCCCTTCTTTTCCCGTTCATTGTGTGTATAATGTATGCAGAATTTGACGACAACGGTATGTCTGTCTGTATGAGAAGAGTTTAGCTATTCATTGAACCTTAAATTGTCGTCCTGTCTGCGTGTTTGGCAGGGTGATGTGGTATGATGTACAACCGGTTTCTCCTTTCTTCCTTCCTTCGTTTTGGTTTTGCCCTGTTGTTTTCTTGGGTTTTAATCTTTCTCTGGCTACCCTGTGCGATATTTTGTATGGGTGAATGGCGATTACCAATATGATATTTGTTAAATTATTATATATTCCCTGTGTAAAATGACAATGACAATAATAATAATAACAAAAACATACAATAATAAACACTTAGCTACTCACCTAGTTATCTACTCACTCTATTCAGTTGTTAAAGATTTTTTGGTTAATCCCCTTGTGTTTTTCTCCGTCTTCTGTTGTTGAAGCTTTACCTAACCATATTCAGTATACATACGGACTTGTCTCCTTGATTGTCTGTCTGTCTGTCTCTCTCTGTGTAGGTTTATCAACCTGTGTATATTCTTTCTACTTTCCTCTCGTGTGCTGTTTGAATCGTTTTCCCTCTTCACCAGTAACACTGACCCTGCTAGAATACTGTGTGCTGTGTTGCGTTGACTGATCATTCTCAGGGGTATTCTTTATTTTTGAATAATGTGTGTACTGCTATAAAGGACATGAGTAGTATATATTCGAAGTAAAACTGTTTCAATTAATGTGTAGCTGTGTGTGTGTGTTGTGCGTGCGTGCGGAAAAGCAGTCAATAATCAGGAGTTATATTTTTGTTTCGAAATTAATTATGTAATAGGTATTTCATTTTGTTATATATAATCGTTATTTTTTCTGCTTAGAAATGTTTTTCGGCAAGTTTGTATATTAGAAGTGTTGAGGAGAGTCAGAGGGGAAAATTGGAAAATGTTTTTAATGATTGTCATTTCAATAATAATAATAATGCTACCCTTCTGTTAGTGTAAACCTAGTGTTATTATTCTTCTCGTTTTATGGTTTATACATTTCGAAATATCACAAAAATAAGTATAATATATATACATATATTATTATTATTCATTCTTTGTGCTTTAAATGGAGTATGCGAGGTGAGGTTGGGTTGAGGATGAATTCAGTTCAGTTGTACTCTGTCGTCAGTCTTTCAACTGACTGCCTGCCAAGATGGTGGTCATAGAAGCTCGTACCTCCTCCTTGTCACATCTAAGTTGTTGTTTCGTCCTCTGATTCTAGTTGATGGCTTTGTAGGTCTGAGGCCTCAGCGTATGTGTGCGATGCATCTATCTTCATTTCATTTCTCTTGACCGATTCACTGTCTGTCAGAGAGTTCCTTGTACACTAGCCTTTCTGTTTAGCTGGCTGACCTACAAACTGATCGTAGTATCAAGTCTTTAAACCACCGATGCATATAGAACCACTAACCGACTTCATATTTTCTGTTTCATTTCTTTGCTTTTCGAGTGAAGCACTGTGGGTGGGTGGACATTGTCTCCAGGCTTTGATGTTTGGTTGCGGTGGTGATTTTGTTTTTCCTTACACGGTGGGGTTGATATGTTCACGCCTAACCTTCCCTCTTTTTTCGGGGCTTACGCTATGAGACGTGGCTACAGAAAGTGGAAGACCATGGAAAGGCTAGCTGTTGATATAAGGATAAAGCCTGGGCAATGTGGTAGAGTATTTTGTTTTGATAAAATTACACAGTGCTATACAGTGATATTTAGCGATGACGTTTCGAGAACAAATTATTGCTCATAATCGTATCAGCGTAATAACAACTTTCTTGCTTCATTTATATACACGAGTAAAAATTGATGAGACATTTTAATAAAATCAACACAAGATAAAGAACATTCCCAATTAATATAATTAATATAAATAAAATACAATAAGATAGGAAATAAGATGTTTTTACAGCAAAATAAACAAAACTATTAGAATGTTGCAATGCCAATTAAACATATTTTAAAATTATTTATTATGATAATATTAAGCTGGCTTTATTTGCAAAGAGGTATCAGGTAGTACGAACAATAGGGTAACTGATATTCACGTTAGATGTCGGTCGAGAGCCAGGTGAGGAACAAAAACAAGTCGAAAATGTTACGAAAAACCTGAAGCGACTAAAATGGCACAGGAAAATATAAACATGCATAAAAATCGCATTAAATCTCGATGGATCTCAGAGTGCCAAAAAGCAACCAAACCAGTTTGGTGAAGGTGGGCTTCCTGCCGATTGTCTCCAATCATCAAGGAATGACAAGAATTCACAGTGCACTGTGATGACGAGCCAGCCACGAATTGTGATGCTGGCCACATTACAAACTTGTCGTCTAATAGAATTAATTCAGTCTGCACCAAAGTGAAAACTGGACGCGCATGATATTTGTTACTTACTTCCTAGTGTCGAATCAGAGTATCCATTACAGTCCTACAGGAGGTGGATGGCGAGCTCGAATAGCTCAGTGGTGACTCACGTCTCTGACTGACAGCAGCACTGCTTCACTCGGTCGGCTTCGAATCTCAAAGTAAGGCACATACATGAGTTGATTTCAACATGGTTGCAGTGCAGACACGCATTGCTTAGGCAGAGATTGATTCAATAAATGCTTGTTATCTGCGTGACTGTGTGGCCAGTGCCAACAAGCACCTAACCTAGTTGGGTGAAGGTGGGCTTCCTGCCGATTGTCTCCAATCATCAAGGAATGACAAGAATTCACAGTGCACTGTGATGACGAGCCAGCCACGAATTGTGATGCTGGCCACATTACAAACTTGTCGTCTAATAGAATTAATTCAGTCTGCACCAAAGTGAAAACTGGACGCGCATGATATTTGTTACTTACTTCCTAGTGTCGAATCAGAGTATCCATTACAGTCCTACAGGAGGTGGATGGCGAGCTCGAATAGCTCAGTGGTGACTCACGTCTCTGACTGACAGCAGCACTGCTTCACTCGGTCGGCTTCGAATCTCAAAGTAAGGCACATACATGAGTTGATTTCAACATGGTTGCAGTGCAGACACGCATTGCTTAGGCAGAGATTGATTCAATAAATGCTTGTTATCTGCGTGACTGTGTGGCCAGTGCCAACAAGCACCTAACCTAGTTGGGTGAAGGTGGGCTTCCTGCCGATTGTCTCCAATCATCAAGGAATGACAAGAATTCACAGTGCACTGTGATGACGAGCCAGCCACGAATTGTGATGCTGGCCACATTACAAACTTGTCGTCTAATAGAATTAATTCAGTCTGCACCAAAGTGAAAACTGGACGCGCATGATATTTGTTACTTACTTCCTAGTGTCGAATCAGAGTATCCATTACAGTCCTACAGGAGGTGGATGGCGAGCTCGAATAGCTCAGTGGTGACTCACGTCTCTGACTGACAGCAGCACTGCTTCACTCGGTCGGCTTCGAATCTCAAAGTAAGGCACATACATGAGTTGATTTCAACATGGTTGCAGTGCAGACACGCATTGCTTAGGCAGAGATTGATTCAATAAATGCTTGTTATCTGCGTGACTGTGTGGCCAGTGCCAACAAGCACCTAACCTAGTTGGGTGAAGGTGGGCTTCCTGCCGATTGTCTCCAATCATCAAGGAATGACAAGAATTCACAGTGCACTGTGATGACGAGCCAGCCACGAATTGTGATGCTGGCCACATTACAAACTTGTCGTCTAATAGAATTAATTCAGTCTGCACCAAAGTGAAAACTGGACGCGCATGATATTTGTTACTTACTTCCTAGTGTCGAATCAGAGTATCCATTACAGTCCTACAGGAGGTGGATGGCGAGCTCGAATAGCTCAGTGGTGACTCACGTCTCTGACTGACAGCAGCACTGCTTCACTCGGTCGGCTTCGAATCTCAAAGTAAGGCACATACATGAGTTGATTTCAACATGGTTGCAGTGCAGACACGCATTGCTTAGGCAGAGATTGATTCAATAAATGCTTGTTATCTGCGTGACTGTGTGGCCAGTGCCAACAAGCACCTAACCTAGTTGGGTGAAGGTGGGCTTCCTGCCGATTGTCTCCAATCATCAAGGAATGACAAGAATTCACAGTGCACTGTGATGACGAGCCAGCCACGAATTGTGATGCTGGCCACATTACAAACTTGTCGTCTAATAGAATTAATTCAGTCTGCACCAAAGTGAAAACTGGACGCGCATGATATTTGTTACTTACTTCCTAGTGTCGAATCAGAGTATCCATTACAGTCCTACAGGAGGTGGATGGCGAGCTCGAATAGCTCAGTGGTGACTCACGTCTCTGACTGACAGCAGCACTGCTTCACTCGGTCGGCTTCGAATCTCAAAGTAAGGCACATACATGAGTTGATTTCAACATGGTTGCAGTGCAGACACGCATTGCTTAGGCAGAGATTGATTCAATAAATGCTTGTTATCTGCGTGACTGTGTGGCCAGTGCCAACAAGCACCTAACCTAGTTGGGTGAAGGTGGGCTTCCTGCCGATTGTCTCCAATCATCAAGGAATGACAAGAATTCAGAGTGCACTGTGATGACAAGCCACCAATTGTGATGCTGGCCACATTACAAACTTGTCGTCTAATAGAATTAATTCAGTCTGCACCAAAGTGAAAACTGGACGCGCATGATATTTGTTACTTACTTCCTAGTGTCGAATCAGAGTATCCATTACAGTCCTACAGGAGGTGGATGGCGAGCTCGAATAGCTCAGTGGTGACTCACGTCTCTGACTGACAGCAGCACTGCTTCACTCGGTCGGCTTCGAATCTCAAAGTAAGGCACATACATGAGTTGATTTCAACATGGTTGCAGTGCAGACACGCATTGCTTAGGCAGAGATTGATTCAATAAATGCTTGTTATCTGCGTGACTGTGTGGCCAGTGCCAACAAGCACCTAACCTAGTTGGGTGAAGGTGGGCTTCCTGCCGATTGTCTCCAATCATCAAGGAATGACAAGAATTCAGAGTGCACTGTGATGACAAGCCACCAATTGTGATGCTGGCCACATTACAAACTTGTCGTCTAATAGAATTAATTCAGTCTGCACCAAAGTGAAAACTGGACGCGCATGATATTTGTTACTTACTTCCTAGTGTCGAATCAGAGTATCCATTACAGTCCTACAGGAGGTGGATGGCGAGCTCGAATAGCTCAGTGGTGACTCACGTCTCTGACTGACAGCAGCACTGCTTCACTCGGTCGGCTTCGAATCTCAAAGTAAGGCACATACATGAGTTGATTTCAACATGGTTGCAGTGCAGACACGCATTGCTTAGGCAGAGATTGATTCAATAAATGCTTGTTATCTGCGTGACTGTGTGGCCAGTGCCAACAAGCACCTAACCTAGTTGGGTGAAGGTGGGCTTCCTGCCGATTGTCTCCAATCATCAAGGAATGACAAGAATTCAGAGTGCACTGTGATGACAAGCCACCAATTGTGATGCTGGCCACATTACAAACTTGTCGTCTAATAGAATTAATTCAGTCTGCACCAAAGTGAAAACTGGACGCGCATGATATTTGTTACTTACTTCCTAGTGTCGAATCAGAGTATCCATTACAGTCCTACAGGAGGTGGATGGCGAGCTCGAATAGCTCAGTGGTGACTCACGTCTCTGACTGACAGCAGCACTGCTTCACTCGGTCGGCTTCGAATCTCAAAGTAAGGCACATACATGAGTTGATTTCAACATGGTTGCAGTGCAGACACGCATTGCTTAGGCAGAGATTGATTCAATAAATGCTTGTTATCTGCGTGACTGTGTGGCCAGTGCCAACAAGCACCTAACCTAGTTGGGTGAAGGTGGGCTTCCTGCCGATTGTCTCCAATCATCAAGGAATGACAAGAATTCAGAGTGCACTGTGATGACAAGCCACCAATTGTGATGCTGGCCACATTACAAACTTGTCGTCTAATAGAATTAATTCAGTCTGCACCAAAGTGAAAACTGGACGCGCATGATATTTGTTACTTACTTCCTAGTGTCTTTCTGTTCTCTCTTGCTCTTAAATTTTGTTTTTGTGACAATTATCCCAATTTTTCATTTGTTTCTTCAGTTAT